GGTGGAGTGGGATTCGCAAAATTGCTGATTCGATCCCAACTCTCCACTGGCGCCCGGACGACCGACTAACGGAGGGGGTACCCCGATTCCGTGTGTATAGCCTTCCTCACCTTGTGTACCCGTCGGTAGGGCGGGTTGCTCTCTTCTCGGCAGACTTGAGTCGATGTTGAACTTGATTGTGTTAGGGATAGGTGGGGGGGCGATCGAGTGGAATTCCTCACACGATCGCAGTTGTTCTTGGGGTGCTCTATTTGAGTCGCCCTGATCTCCCTTGAGATCGCCTTATCTAATTGGTTGATACTTGATCCGCTTGCCTTCTGACCACTTGAGCCGTCTCGCGATCTTGTATCTGGACTTCTTAGTCCTCTGCGTCCAATCGCAGCTTGAGTTGTTTTGTTAAGAATTCTTGCAATCCCTGGCCAAACAATCCAGGGATATGACTTGCGTAGTATGTAGACTTCCTTGAGACGTCGGGTGGCCAAAGAATCCAGCCCGGAAGAGAAGTCGACACGTGTACTTAGAAGCAAATTGATCGCTGTTAATGTTAACCAATCAAATACCAAAACCTATGATCTTGACTATCTGTAGCTCAGGATCTGTTGCCACGTATCGCCCTTTCGGAGAAATCAGATCTTGTAATGTGGTCCACTCCAATATCGCCGCTATCTGGATCGCTACCTCGCTTGGATCAAATACCAGTTTAGTATTGGATCGCGGTACTAAATAATTAATTTTGGATCGCGCTACTAATAATTAGTATCGGATCGTGGTACTAATAATTAATATATCGGATCGCGGTACTTATAATTAGTACCGGATCGCGTTACTAAATAATTAATATCGGAACGCGATACTAAATAATTAATATCGGATCGCGGTACTAATAATTAATATCGGATCGCGGTACTAAAAATTAATATCGGATCGCGGTACTAATAATTAATATCGGATCGCGGTATAAAAATTAATATCGGATCGCGATACTAAATATTAGCATCGGATCGCGATACGCCGGATCACGACTTATCCTCTTCACCGTTTCTCAGGTCATGTGAGATGGCCATCTCATGTCCACCTCATTCCAGTCTTCCATAGCGACGTGATCCACACCAGACCGTCTTCCACATACTTGGATGTACCCATCCTCCTTCTTAGCGATCGCGTTCACGCGGATTGCCATCGGAAATACTGGAGATCGCAATTGCGTAGTTTCTAGGCCATATTTAGCCCACCTAGAACTGCAAACTCCACCATTCACTATTTTCCATCCCATTTGACGTCATCTCGAAACCTTTCTGCGAGATCGCGACTCATCAATATTGGCCGCGAGATCGCGACTCATCAATATTGGCCATTTCGGACTTAACCGAAAATATGTGATCACACTTTGCGAAATTCACTCCTTCACTTCGCCACAAATTAGTATCGGATTGTGGTACTAATAGTTAATATCGGATTGCGGTCCGCCGGATCATCTTCACCGTTTCTCGGGTCATGTGAGATGGTCCATCTATATGACATGTCATTCCAGTCTTCCATAGCGACGTGATTCACACCAGACCGTCTTCCACATACGTGGATGTACCAATCCTCCTTCTTAGCGATCGCGTTCACGCGGATCTCCATCGAAAGATACCGGAGATCGCAATTGCGTAGTTTCTAGGCCATATTTAACCCACATAGAACTGCAAACTCCACCGCTCACTGTTTTCCATCCCATTTGCCATCATCTCGAAACTATTCTGCGAGATCGCGATTCATCAATATTGGCCATTTCGGACTTAACCGAAATATGCGATCACACTTCGCCAAATTCACTCCTTCGCTTCGCCACACGTGCATTAAGTGCCGCCTTTGTATCTTCGAGGACTGTCTCATCGACAAATGAGGATGAGTTCAGCTCGAGATTAGGTCGAATGATTACCATATCGGATAAAGCACCTGCCTTCAGGCCTGATGAATTTCATCCACAGACATTTCATCTAGCTCTAAGAGAGCATTAAGTGATGGGAGGACCTCAAGGTCAACCTCACCATCTACATCACCTGTCACTCCGTTGACTAGGGTGTACAACTGGTCACTGACATTACTACGCGATAAAACAGACGTTTTACGTCTCGCAGTCGCCATCTGCTGTTGGCGACGCTGCAGTATCAGTGATGAGACCGTACTTTGTAAAGTTATTGGGATAACATCATCCCCAAGGTCAACAGATTCCTTGACCTTAACCTGCCCTATGCGAGAGCCGATGTCAGTATTGACATCCAGTGAGTCACTAGTACCAGTGACATCACTAACAAGTTCATCGACCTTAACTTGCTCTATACAAGAGCCGATGTTATTACCGACATCCAGTGAGTCGCTATTACCAGTGACATCACTAACAAGGTCATCGACCTTAACTTACTCTATACGAGAGTCGATGTCATTACCGACATCCAGTGGATCGCATTTACAGCCAATATCACTAACAAGGTCATCGACCTTAACTTACTCTATACTAGGGCCGATGTCATCACCGACATCCAGTGTCTCAATATTACTATGAGTATCACTCAACGGAGTACGTGCCGTTCCACTAGGTGTCATTGAGCTCTGCTCAACACTATTATTATTGACATTGGAGTTTATCAACTCAAACACTCACACTCACTGACTCAGTTAATGGCTCGCGCCAATAGCACTTCTGTTCTATAGCGAAGGAGTGCGAGTCGTTGCGCCTCAGAGAGGTGATTTTGTGATTCTCCATCCTCACAGAGGCTCAGTCTTTAAAGACTCAGGTGTAGGATTGACTACAAGTGCTACCAAGTGTATCGGAGCTGCACAGCTCTTATGCCAGAGGAAGACTTTAGGTTGAAATCCTTTTAGTTTTAGAGAACTAAATAGAGTTAAGGCTAAAAGCTACTTAGTTCTAAGGAACTAATTAAACGACTTAAAGTCACCCTGTTTTAAGGAACTAGGAAAGAAACTTTTAGTCAACAAGCAGTAAGCTAAGGTTCAGAGAACCAACGCACAGAGTGCAAGAACAAGCTAGAAGCTTAGAGGTTCAGAGAATAAACGCACGAAGTGCACAAGAGAAAAAGTCAGAACGACTTGCGATCTTAAACTCAAAATGAGAACTGATTTTATTTATGCTTTAAGATTTTATGAATTGTCCTACTCTAAGTACCCTACACTAGATTAATTACTATAATAGTAATTACTATATGCAGACTTTGCTATTGGACGACGTATCGTCTAAGCATCTGTGTATGATGTACTTAGTACAGCGTTATCGATTATCGAATCCTAATCGATAACATACGGCATTACCGAATACCGTATCTTTAATGCATATACCTAATACCTCTCTAAAGAGAAGTAAAATAATGCATTATATGCAATAAAAGGAAACTTCAACCGTCAACTTTCGGAATGATGTTACAACCGTCGTGTAACCCCTTTACAATGTTTCTCGGCTAAATAATTATTGTTCTGCGCCATAAGCTGCAGCACCTCAACCTCAAATTACATGCTGTAGTGGTCCCCCTAAAATTGGTGGCATTGAAGGTGACAAAATCTGTATAGCGCTCCAAGTCTATCCTCGTATTAGAGAATGAAAGAAGATCAGCCAATGAAGATGACAAAAATTTCATCTCTTTCATCGTTGGGTCTGAGTTTTCATCATTTATATCCTCTTTTGTAACAGGGCATCTAGTTACACGCAAACATTAAGTAATATACTTAATGTTTGGTCTAAAAGTATCCATGATTACTTTGTACCAGTCACTTGGGTGCGACACACAAATGTGATCCACCCTCGTAAATGTGATATCCATTTATGAATTCGCATGGGAAGGGATGACGCTAGTTGAAGCTAGACATTGCGACGTCTCAGAAGGAAGTAATTCACAAACTTAAATCTAGATTTAAGATCATGCGACAGGATACGCTTCTAAAGAGTCGCGTATCCGATCTATATATATATATATATATATATATATGCCAATCAGTAGTTAAACATATATTTAGTTATAATTAATTAAATATAGCTCAGTCTTGAATTGGCTTATACATAACCACCACGCACGAGAAGCTGAAAAAGCTTCTACGTGACGTCGGTGACTTCTTGGTTAGAAGTCCGTTGCACTCTCGCTTAAGCGAGAGGCAACTGGTGGTGCGACTGCTTAAGCAGTCGACCAACCACACAACCACCCTCGCACGCGAAGGTAAAACGGTGTAACCACTTCCTCGCTTGTGTTCTAGTAGCACGAGGCAAATTCGTAGAAGTGCCCGTCTACATTTTTACTAATCTCGTTATCGGACTTGAGGTGTGTACACGAGGTTCGAGAAACAAATTAAGCTCTGATATTTCTAGCCTTCAGTCAGACCAGAAATGCATACTTATGATGACTGAAATTGTGTTTGTACGGCAAATGTTGTGAGAACGTGAATGCAAAGCGTTTGTTCTCTAGTCAACAGTATCAACGCATTATGTTTTTAAACGGCGAGAAAAGCGAACCAGGGTGCAGCTTTTAAATAAATAGTTAAGAATACATTTTGTGTAAGTTTAGTGTGGCAGATGCTTGATCTGTCTACCTGTCATCTCAAATAAAACAGCTACCGAGTCAAGCGTCTACAGTAACAAGATGTTTATGCTAAAGAAGAAGAAACCGCAGGTGGACAGCACTAAGCAGATGAAGGCTGTGGCGTGGGACCTTTCAAAGATTGTGCTTGTGTTCGTGGGGATTCGCGCTGCCTCGATCTTTCTGAACCAGGAGAATTGAGTGAAATGACGAGAGAACGATGAGAGCCGCAGACCTGGATGCCTTTCGCTCTCACAACATTGCTGTGACCTCAAGCATGAAGCGGTGGCTGCCTGCGATTGAATAAGAACTTTAGTTTTGCCAATATGACAATGTAAGTTGAGGTTACGAGACACCCGTTCAAGTTGAGATGTGCATGCATATATTCAATTGTCGACGCTCTCGACACTATACCATTCTCCTATCAAAGTAAATCTAGGCCTCATTCTCCTCATCTTCCTCCTCGACCATTTCTTCGTCTTCGTCCACTTGCGTGAATGACTCTAATGCAATGTTACACTTTTCTGCAAGCACGTTGAGAGCCTCCGGCAACAGCTCCTCGGGCTTAATCATACCAACGGACTCGATACTAAAGATAAAGTGGTCACTCTGGCGTCCAAGGCGAATTTTCTCATTCCAGGTAGGATCGCGGACGCAGTTTCGGCACATCGTACAGGAACGTTCGTCCTTCACCACGGCCGTTGGAACACCACACATGTCTTCAATATCGAAAATACCCATCTGGCACTCAGCGACTAGGCGCTTCGCGTCGGCGCCCTCCACCTTTTCCAGTAGTTCTACCTTGGGCAGCAAGCGATACGACGCTGTAGCAACGGGGGAAAACTTGGCGTGGTCTTTGCCGACGCCCTTGCGACAGTGAGCTTCTAATGCTATGCTTTGACCTGGCCGCAGCTTTGCGATCAAAATTTCCTCGTGCACGGGGCGAATTGAGCCAAAACGCTCCTCCTGGTTTCCTTGCGGCACCCACTCAAGGTCGCACGAGTACGCTTCGTTAACAAAAATAGAGCAATTGAAACAGTCAGCACCATCATCTAACGTTTTTAGCAGTTGAATCTGCCCCAAATTAACGGGAACGCACCGGAAGAGTGAATCGCTTTCGTAGGGTCCTTCGGGTGATCAGGGTCAAACGTGCAGGTGACATCGAGCTTGAAGACGATAGTGTTCTCGTCAGTGGCTTCTGCCTCTTCATTATCTGGGAATGCCTGAAACTCGCGCGGGTCCACGTTGAGCGGCACGAGGCCTAATCGGTGGGCTAACACCTCATCCTGAATAATGGATGAGTTGTTCCAGATGTATACGTGCTCAATAGCCATAGTAGGTACCTCGGCCAGCAGGATTCGGCGTAGCGCATTGGCTATGGCAGCATCCACGCCTATGAGGTCGAACGAGACCTCGTCGTCCGTCAGGCTCTGAATTTTGACCTTCATCTGGCGCTTGGACAGTTCCACAAAGCTGTAGCTGCTCTCGCTCTCCATATCAGGCTATTTGGAGGCAGTAAAAGGATCAGCCTCGATACAATATCAGCGTGAAGGGTACAAAATGGTCGCTCACCTGGTGCGGCGCGTCATGGCCAACGCGGATAATTTTCGAAGACTTGCCCATGCTGTCTTTTGTATGGTCGTGCTGTTGACTACTGCGCGATAATTAGGCTACGAAGATGGAGCAAAGAAGGGAGCGATTGGACGGAGCAATTAAATGGAGCAATTTGACGGAGCAATTAGACGAAGCAATTGACTCAAGCCGCGACCAGCCATTCGAAGTAAGTACCCTCTGTAATATTATACAGCTAATGTTATCTATATATAATTTGACAGGTTGAACACTTAAGTGCTTGGTGTCAGCTATAAACCTCAACTCTCTTGCGTTTGTTCGTTTATTACTTCTTTTTTCAAGTTTTACGTCCAAATGCTGCCCAATCGTTATCTCCTCGGTCTAAAAGAACCCACGCGCCGCTCCTCCATTATTTGCTTTCTCGGTGACCATTCAATCCAAATATCGTGTCCGCTACTTGTCTGAGCTTGCTTTCTCTCTCGCTAAGAAAAAAGATATTAAGAGAGACTGCTTCGACGCTCCATTCGTCCGGGGCGAGAAACAAACCAAAGCAACAAAGTCTTTAACGCATTTCTGCTCAACCAGTCACTCATGTCACGTGCATTGGCTAAAAGCGTTCAGTCTTACTTGGTGTAGGTAATTTTACGGGTCTTCAGCGGCGCCCATTTGAGGCGCTTGTAGTAACCCGTCAGCGCACACAATGCCGCCAAGGCCACAGTTATCTGCATGCCCTGTTTCTTTCGCACGTCGTGCTCCGGCTCAGAGGCCCATGCAAGGAAAACCGACACATCTTTCGCCATCTGCGACGTCGTAGACGGCGTGCCGTCTTCGTACTCGATCTGGCCGTCCTGCAACTGACGCTCCATGGCGATAGCACCACCTCCAAAATATGGGTTGTAGTAGAGGCCATCCAGTAGCTCCATTCCTTCAGGCGGGTCTACATAACCCGTAAGCAATGCGAAAAGATAGTCGGCGCCAGCGTGACGAGCCTTGACCATCAATGAAAGATCCGGCGGAATGGCACCATTATTGGCAGCAGCGGCTGCCTCATCATTAGGGTACGGCCGGGGAAGCGGGTCCGAAAGTTTGCCGGGGCGGTCAAACATTTCACCTTGGTCGTTAGGTCCATCAGTGACATCTATATCGGCCGCAATCTCCTTTAGCTCCTCCTCCGTGTGAGTCACGCCCACCAAGTTACGAAAACAGATGCGGTCCAAACTGTGGCATGACGCGCAAACCTCGCGGTACACTTGGTAGCCGCGACGTACACTGGCGTAGTCAAACGAGGACAGCGGGCCCTGGTGATCAAAACCGTAATGCAGCGCCTCAATCTGATCGCTGCTGAAGGCTGTGACACCAGTAAGCACCGATCCGCCCAATAGAGCTCCGGCGCCCACCTACGGCAGCACAAAAAGAGTGGAGAGACCAGAGTTGTAGTTAGAACTTGCGCTATCATTTTAGTGGTCCAGCCTTAGTCAGAAGCAGCATGTTGACTATGCTGCAAGATTGTACAGAGGAGCCAGTGTAATTACGCATAATAGGTGCGTATCCAATATTAACAACGAACCTTAGCAGCACGTTGCAACAACTTGGCGCGGTTCATCATTGTGTTCGGCAAACTCAAGTTGCTAGTCTGTGAGCCTCCCCAGCCGCTCATCGACATACACGTCGCCCACCCTATCCTAATGGGTTTTGTATATATGTTATAGTTCATCCCTCCTATGTGAAGTACACCAATTTGATTGAATGAGATCTGTTTTGCAGCTAAACCTTCCCACGAAAAAATGGTAAGGCTAATCGATCATTTAGCGAATGTGCATGAGATAAATCTAGAGATAATGAGAGCCTAACGTTCGTGGTTCTAATTGTCATTGCAGTCGGCGCTATTTAATCTCCAGGGGCTGCTTACAGTCATCCTGCTTTTTATCTGTACCTGCACCTACATCAAGATGAAGTTTCCTACGCTTTTTGATCGAGGTCAGCTGCCAGGAAAGCATGAGGGCCTCGGTGGTCTTTGCTGGAAAGCCTCGCGCATTGGGGAGCGCAAAAGCCAATTTGTGGCTAGCGTTCTCGTCGTTATGGCTGTGCACACGCTATTCTTCTCGTAAGTCTGGCCCCTTGTGCTAGTGAGATGCTGGCGTGAAATGCTCACTTAGTAGTAGATCAAGTACGTTTAGTTTTCGAGCAAGAATGCGTTGTTGAATACGATTTTAGCATTTGACCCTAACAGCAAGCGTCATTGTCACATGAATGCAGTCTTGCTGAGACTTCCTGTGCAAACACGACTGACGTACATACTTTAAATTCGTGTTTTGTAAAGTTCTAATCTCGTTGTTGCAGATAGCTACAATTCTCGCCTACCCTCGAAACCATCACCTCACACGAACATATTGTAAAAACGCTTCGGGGGCGACATCTCTTCCAACCGTCGGGCTTCTCTCAGCACCGTCGCGGGCGTAATGACACCTATTTCCATCATAGTGCTAAGAAGGATATCAGCCAGTCTTCCGAATCTTCAATTACCAAGAAGAGTATTTAGTTCTTCTTAGGAGCAGCACCACCGCTCGTGCCCATACCCATGACCGTCTTAAAAGTGTCGTAAATCCACCACTGAGCACCTGTCAGCGTACCGATCATAAGGATACGAGTGCCCAGACCTTTAGTTGCCAGGTTGACCAGACCAGTTTCGCTGGCGATCTGGCCGAAGCCTTTACCCTTATTCTCGGCCTTACCCATAAGCGACACCACCGAGTCGGCGGGGTGCGACACGATGGCGCAAATAACACCAGCAAGATAACCCGAGGCGAAAGTGACGCCAAGCTGCGTGCTCTTAGGGTACGAGCTCTTGGGCTCAGTGAACACGTATGTGTAAAAAGCCTCCACCACTTTCTCAAAGAAGAAGAACTTGGCCATCGTGTAAGGGATCTGACGCGACCACAGGGGCACGAGAGAGCCGAAGGGGAAGCGAGTTTCAGCTGAGTTGGCCTTCATTGCAGCCACAGCGGCACCAAATTCGACGGGAAACGTGCCGGCGGGCGAGGTCTGCACCTTCACCTTGACCATCTCCATGGGGCAGAGGGCCATGTCTGCAAAGAACTCAGCCGAAGCAGATCCTGCCAGATAAATGGCTCCACGGTACTTGTACGCATTCTCCTCGCCAGCCATCGTGCTGTACGTGTCCTTAAAGAACTCGTAAAAGCCAAACTTACACATACCCTGAGCCGAGTATCCAATGGCAGTAGGGGCCCAGCCTTTGAATAGAGCGCCAGCACCCTCCTCCGAGGCAATGGTCTTGAGGCCAGGCAACAGGCCGTTGTACTTGGCCGGATTAACCTGCATGTTGCACTTGACTACGTCCAGTGGGGTGATGCCTGTGTGGGTGAGGCCACACGACAGAATACCGCCAATCATACACTTGCCGTAATAAGCGGTGTCGTGAATGGGATCATGCGAGAGGCGTGCATCCCACTTGGCAGCCGACGTGGCCAGGACCGAGGCTGAGGTGGCCTTTGGGGCAGCAATCGACGGTGCGGCGGGGTTGAGAGTGGAGATGACAGGAAAAAATGTGCTCATGCTTGAGAAGATCTGTGAGGTTGACGGATGGATGGCGAATGACACAATGTAGAAAATCATGGGGAGTTTTCATTTAAGGGAAGACCAACAACTTCTGAAGTAGTATGCTGAAGTAACGAAAACTGACCCATTATTAAATAGATACAAGTACCGTCGACCTGGCTGGTTCTGCCTTAGCCTGCCAAAATTTGCTTTGCGTATGCAGGTTGTCAAAATACATTGACAATTTATCCAATACTGCCCCAGTACAGGATATTTGTGGCCATGGCTGCCATGAAGACGAACCTTAATATGCGTTCTTCTTTGGCCCGCGTAGTGCGTGGGCCGCGCTACAAGATGCCATTGATTATGCACTCCCGTTGAGCGCTTTTGTGAACGGATTCATGCGAGGCTCGAGCATTTCACGTGAGTGGCAAGGACGAAAGGACGTAGCTTTTGCATGCAGGCCGAGTTGAACAGAAAAGATAAGGATCATTTGTGAAGGTGTCTCGGCATGCTGACCTAAAAAAAGGAGGCGGCGTTCACGAGCAAAAGGCGAATGGTATGAACCGCGCAGGTCGTCAGATTATAAAGTGTGATTTTGCTAGGGTTCTAGCGCTTCATCCATCATTATCTGCCACACACAATATTGCGCAACGCAAGCACCCTAATCTCCTCCTTGCGGGTCGTCTATAAAATTTTTATTACGATAACAGTGCTGTAGTTTTCGCAACTCCTCGACACAGTCATTTGGAAATATGTAGGATACCCCCGCAGTTAGCTTGCTCTACATGAGATGGATAGTTCCAATCATTTAGTGTTGTTGCTTAGATCTGATCTGAAAAAGATACAAAATATTTTGATGTGAGAGGAGGAGATCATGTTTTGAATTTAATACGATAAACAAAGTATTATATGAGTCGCAGGGTGGTCGGTGCTACATTGGTCTTTGCTCGGCGGTGTCATATTAAGTTATGCGGTGTCCACAGAAGGAAACTCAACTGAAATGATACTGATGCAAGATGCATATACATATGATGCAGGGCCGCAACGTCTGCAAAACGTCAGGTGTAATGCCAAAAAGAAACAGTATACTCTATGGCAGAACGGATATATGAGCAAAAAGATAACGCCAGTGAAGTTGCTTTTTCGGCCATTGTACTTTGAAAACACAAAATTAAGTTGAATTCAAAGCTATTTGGAGAAGCTCGTCGAAAATGCAAAAATCGTCGTGATACTTTTGTGCTGTAAATCCGCATAGACCTTCAGAACAGCTGTAAGAGTGGAGTGAAGTAGTGGTGTACTTGAGCACGTAGAGGTAGAAGTAAAATATATTTAGCATTAACTACTCTCCTTCGCTAGTGCTTTAACATGTACGATAGAGTCAACTGCGACTATACCATGTCTAGTCTGTAGTGTAACAGGGTACCTAGTTACACGTAAACATTAAGTAATATACTTAATGTTTGGTCTAAAAGTATCCATGATTACTTTTGACCAGTCACTTGGGTGCGACACACAAATGTGATCCACCCTCGTGAATGTGATATCCATTGATGGATTCACATGAGAAGGGATGACGCTAGTTGAAGCTAGGCATCACGACGTCTCAGAAGGACGTCAGTTGCGATCTTAAATCTAGATTTAAGATCATGCGACAGGATACGCTTCTAAAGAGTCGCGTATCCGATCTATATATATATATATATAGCCAATCAGTAGTTAAACATATATTTAGTTATAATTAATTAAATATATCTCAGTCTTGAATTTGCTTAAACAGAAACACCACGCACGAGAAGTTGAAAGACTTCTGCGTGACGTCGGAGTTCTAAGTGTTAAGAAGTTCGTTGCACTCTTGCTTAAGCGAGAGGCAACTGGTGGTACGACTGCTTAAGCAGTCGACCAACCTCCCAACCACCCTCGCACGCGAAGGTAAGACGGTATAACCGCTTCCTCGCTTGTGCATAAGGTGTGTGCTCGTAGTACGAGGCAACTTCATAGAAGTGCCCGTCTACACTTGGTAGCACTAGTAGTTCTTCCCCCACGACCCGTCTCTCTGAGCGTGCGTGCGGTTAAGATGGTCCTTAATATGGACTGGAGTGAATTCTCTCACCTCTCCCAACATCATAGGGAGTTGGCAGAGCATATGGCGCAGGGACTTGGTGAACAAGCCCTGGTCAACCTCTTGCACCGTCCTCCTGAGCAACATGTTGCTCAGTTGGAACAATTTGAGGCGTTTGTGCTCGGACAGCGTAGAAACGCGTCCGAGGTAAACAGCCAAGCCACCGCTGAGTCCATCACTAAGACTCAGGATGAGCTTAGGCTTGAGCAGGCACGTAATGAGGCGCTCAACAGGACTGTTGAGACGCTCTCTGCCCGGCCTGCTCAACCGAGGCTCATTCGGATGGACCCTCCGAAGTTCGATGGAACTAGCCCTCACACGATTGTTAACTGGCTATTAGCAGTGGAGCAATGTGGAGTGGCGCAGCTCATCGAAGACGACACCGGAATGGTGTCGTATGCCATATCCAACTTGCGTGGCAAAGCGTCAGAGTGGGCATACTCTGCGCTGATGGCTAATGCTGATGCATTTCCATCATGGGCGATCTTTAAGTCAAAGATTCGCGCCATGTATCAGCCGCCTAACAACGAAGTGTTGCTTATGGCGCGCTTCTTTTGAGCACGACAAGCGAAACGCTCTCTGCAAGAGTTTGTGCAGGAGATGCGTTCGCTGTCGGCGTCCATCAATGGGGAACCGATACTAGAGCGTATCAAGGTAGCCACGTTCATGAATGAACTTAGGCATGGCCCATCGCGTCAGGCCCTTTTCAGAAAGGTGCCAGCGACGATAGAAGAGGCAATTGACATTGCCTTAGTTAAGGAGCAATCCTACAACAGCGCCTCGGCGACAGCCTATTACAGGCCGTCGTCCGAGAGGTCTGATGCCACTCCTATGGAGTTAGGCAATGCAGATGTCATCTGCTACAAGTGCGACAAGCGAGGCCATATGATGGCTCGCTGCTATGCCAAAGTAGCTGCTGGTGCTAAGGCAGCCAGCAAAAGGTCTCCCTACCCGAAGGGTGGTTCGAAGTATAAGCTTACACGACGAACGGGTTCAGCACCTGCCCAAGATGGGTCGGGAAATGCGGGAGCGCAGTAGGGGCGGGATGCCCTACTGTCGCGGACTCTGAAGCTACCCCTAAGTTCAGAGTGATCGAACAAATGGGTAGCATAGTCCCTGAGGTTCCGAAAGGTCGGACCTCAACCCTTTTGGTCTATAGCGCTCGAGTACGAGGCTATGACCAAGTGATGACCCTTCTCGTGGATTCGGGTGCATCACAAAACTTTGTGAAACTCGCGGCTCTAAAAAAGAGACCGGCGAGTTATGAGTCGCTTTGCCAGGATGGCAAGCGAGAAGAGGCGATCGTTCGTTTAGCGAACGGCGCGCTCGTCAAACCGGAGGGAGTTCAAGTCAAACTCGCCTTCAGTTTCAGTGACTTCTCTTGTAAAGAGAAGTTCACAGTGCTAGGTATGGAGAGTCCGTACGACCTCATCCTAGGCATGCCTTGGTTGGCTAAACACCAACCATGGATAGACTGGCGTACACGCACAGTCGCTAGCTCTACGCAAGACACCGGAAAGGATGTGCTCTTGCGAGAGGCTTATGTGATTGATGCTATGTCCAACACAGTCGAGGGTGCGATGGCGGCAGGTCAATCGACACCAGGAACTACCCAGCTCGAAAGTAGTGGTGTAGTTGTGAGTGCACTGGCGGAAAGCCAGGTGACACATATTCCTACCCAGGTCGAAAAGACTGGTGTAGTGAATGGGGCGATGACAGGTAGTCATGCGTCCAATAGTCCTGCACAGAGCCGAGAGCCTGTGGCAGTTGATGGTAGGCTGACAGCAAGTCAAGCGCCACAAAAACCGGCACAGAGCCAAGAGCCTGGTGCGGTTGGAAGGAGTGCGTTAGTTGAGATAGCAACGACACCTTCCTCCAGGTCAAAGGTCGTGGTGACTCGAAGAACGAGCACCAGACGTATTAAGACGATCAAGGGCACGTCGAAACGAGTGAACCTTGGATCAGTCTCGATCCAAGAGGACGGACCTACGAACGAGTTGTTCGAGGCCGTCGAAGACAAAATGCCGGAGGCATCCTCAGTTGAGGTGCTCCAACTTGTCTTGGCATCTGCCGAGGAGATAGTAAATCTCTCGGAGATGACGTGGGATCTGTTCCTGTCCGAACTAAAGGAAGGAAACATCCACGAGATAGTCGCACCAGTTCCAGAAGAGAACGTGGTGGACTGTTGCTCGTCGTACACAATGGATGAGAGCGTCTTGGAGACCGACAAAAAGAAACGGTTCGCTGCTCAAGGCTGGGATGCCTTGAAGGACAGCCCGTTCTATGATGTTCTGTGGAAACACCGTGATGTGTTTCCAGCAGAAGTGCTGATCCGCCTACCGGCCGATAGGGGCATCAGGCGCGAGACTGACCTGTATCCTAACACCAAATATTGTGTGACCAGGCAGTGGCTGTTGCCGAAGGAACAAGTCGATTACATCGATGAGTCTTCGACAAGCAAACTAAGGCGGGACATGTACGTGAGAGCAAGTCGCCTCATTGCAGCCCGACCTTCTGTGTGCGTAAAGCAACAAATGGATGGTGCGTAGTTCATGCTTATGATAAGCTGAACACGGCCACCATTCCGGCTCCAACGCCGGTCCCGCGGAAAGATGTCTTGTTGAATTCCATGGGAAAGTCAACTATCTTTTCCGCGTTGGATCTGAAGGATGGCTACGATCAGGTTCTCATGAGAAATACTGATAAGAACTTGATAGTAGCCATCCTTCAGATCAGTCAAAACGCCAGTAATCACTCAAGCGGTATGATGTGGGAGTGGCTTGTGATGCCACAAGGGTTGAAAAATGATCCGGCAACATTCAACCGAGTGGTGGCTCACGTGATGCGTCAGCACTGTGCCTACGCGCCCCATTACTTTGACGATGTATTTGTGCAT